CTTGTAGTGATTAGGGGATCAGGGGCGGCTGTTGCTCAGAAGGTAGAGCAGGTCGGCAACTAATCCGAGGACCTACAGTCGATCCCTAGCTCCTCCAGTCCGCATGTCGAAGTATCCTTGAGCAAGATACTGAACCCTGAATTGCTCCCAATGGCTGTTCCATTGGTGTGTGAATGTAGTAGCAGGTGACACCTTGTATGGTAGGCCATAAGCATGTGAATGTATGGGTGACTGTGACACATAGTGTAAAGAGCGCTTTGAGTAGTTGAAAGACTAGAAAGACATCATACAATTGCACGTGCAGGTCCATCGAAAAAAAATACCCAAAATAGGAGAGTGGAAACTTCACTGTCACTTGCATACCACCTCCGGTTATTACAGAGAAAGGACACCTCAGTCAGTGCATACATGTCTTTGTTGTTTCCATGACAGCAAATTACAGCTACTGATTTATATGACTTTCATCTTAACGCTGCATCACCCTAACCTCCGATGAGTTCCCTCTACCGTGTAAACCCCTCCACACATAAGTCCTTCTGCACACGAGCCTTCACTGGTGATCCTGGTTATTGATGGGAGTTTGAGGACAGTTATTAGGGGTTAATGGCAAACTCATTAGGGGTGAGTGGGGGGTCAGCGTCTGTGATTTTGTGTGCGAGGTGAGAAGGTGCTCTTATAAAAGTGGAGCACATTGCAGGTGCATGAGTGCAAGCATTTTCTAGAACAGTTTAACAGCAGTCCTTTGACCTCGGGGCTTACCTGCATATGTTCCTCGTACCAACCTACACATGCACATACACGTGTGTCTGTCTGTCTGTGAAACACTCACACACACACACACACACACACACACACACACACACAAACATTTTGATCGAAAAAAGACAGTGACATAATGGCCCTCAGGCCCTGCCCTCATTCTTCACATACTTAATACTTTCCACTGTCTAACTTAATCACACTCTCACTGTCTGTCTGTCTTTTAAGTGTTATATTATTGGTTTCCCATGGCAACCGCCCTGAAACCAAGCCTCTCTCTGTAACATTATGATGTTACAACCACTGAGTTGCTAAACTGCTTCCCAAACTGTTTATTCTTGGATGGCAATCATGCATCTGCTGCGCTCGAAGGAGTCTTGATTTAATCAGAAATATCTGGTTTGTCCTTGGATCATAAATTTCCATAGAGGCCAAATCACAGAATGATGTCTGGACAGAGGAGCAGATCCCTTCCTACGTAATACACGGCCTTATTGGAAACAGGGGGGCGAGTGACTGAAGTGCGTCCAGACTTGTGTCAATGCAGTCTGCCACAAACAGCTGATAAAATTGACTCCACGCTAACCCTGCATTAATGAGGATATAATGAGGAGAGATTGTGTTTGTTTTGGGAAAACACTCACACTCCTTCACACACGAGACACGATGTGATCCAAGTCTGTGGCCGAGGGTTTGTGCTATCTAGAGTCCGCAGAAACAGCAAGGTGACAATCTTTCAGCACGTAGTAAAACTCACAGAGACAACATTGCAGGCCTCCGAAGAGCTGCAACCATCTGTAAACTGCAGCGTACGAGGCCTGAGTAGCAATTACTTCTTAATGTGAAAAGTAAAAGTGCAGATCCAGCTTGGCGCACACCTGCAGACAACAAGAATTCAAAGCAATGAAGTGATTTTGTGAGGACGCTAAACTGAAACGGCTGCTGTAAACGTCTGGGGAGCAAAGACAGTCGTAAGAGCCAGCTGTTTATGATTATGGACAGACAATTCTGACAATTATATGTGACAGCGATGAATGACCACCATGCTAATAAACCCTGTTCTACTTTGTTTAAGCAGATCCCTCATTTAGCCAATGCTTGATAGTTCGTATTTGGATCCTGGGATTTAAACCTGCTATAATCAATATTTTGATAACAAAGAGAATTATCACCAGACTCTGCAGTTCAGCTCAGCTCTTTGGACCATTTTACTGTAGCATCCTCCAATTTATTGTTTTGGTTTTATGGCCCACAGCTTTACAGTTTTGGTTTGCCCTCATTGCTCTCATCAGCACCTTTTCCAGCTGCAGCAGGCAGCTGTTTTCAGCAAAAAAGAAAGCTTTGATAACCCGACAGTACACCATCTTTCCAGCACAAAAAACAAACAGACACACAAGTGAGCCACTTGCTGCAGCATTTCGCTGCTGAAGAGTCAGATATTTTCCTCAACAGTAGGTGGAGACCAAAAAACAGAGCTAAAATTAGGAACTAACAGAACTCCAAAGTGATGCTAACACTCCCTCACAGGCTTTTCGCTGGCTGTGCTGAAGTATCTCTATACGATATTCAGAGTGCAGCTATGATTCAGAGGTTGTCTACACATGGTTCTCAACATGGAAGTGATTGAGCTGGCAGCTGGGAGATAACGATGCTAACAGCACAAACAGTGATAACAACAGCAACAGTGCTGACAGAGCTAAAGGTGTTAAGCCATGGATGTGTAAAGAGAACTGGTTACATTGTTGGAAGCGGGGCCCTGTTCATATTTGCGGTATGAAAATTGCCTGGATCCTGATATGAAATGAGTCATTTCGCAGGGTTGCAACACTCAAATTAAAAAATATATTTACTGATTAACAGGCGTCTCTTTCACAGTGTAAGTCTTTGAGGGAAAAAAGTCTTTTTGGGACCTGTGGTATTACATGACAGACCCAGAAGTTGTAATTCCACATTTGGCCACTATGTAAAATTGTCTTTAAAACCCACTGCTGTTCCTAGGGGGAACCAGAGGCAAATTTATTTTCGCTATGATGGTAAAGGCATGTCCTGCCCTACTATGCCTTATTCTGCCCCTGAGTGGCTTATGCTGATATTCTTACCCTAACCCTAACCAAACTCACTCCTTTTGCTTAAACCTAACCAACCCAATCAATGAAGGCAACAAGTACTAGCCAGTCAGAGGGAGAGAAGGGCAGGTCTGGTCTTTGCCATCCTAGGAAAATCTGCGAACTGGAGGGTACCAACACCGTCCCATTACCACTGATAACAGGATATCTCAATGCTTCCTTTTCATTTCCAATAGAGAACAGAAGAAGCAGTCATGCTGTGCATGATGGGAGTGTTGCTGTGCGTTTGGAGGAGGGGTTGTGGCACGTTCACCGCTCTGTATTTGCATAAAGACGAGATTCACTTTATGGAAATGAGTCCGTCTAGCAGCAAAACTTGGCCCCAGCTGTCAAACTAGGTGATGCTGTTCTAAAATGAAACAAGATTCAGCAGTGGCATGGCCTATTTTTCACTTCAAATGTTTTTTCAGAATAGCTTTTAATGGACTGTTGAGACGACATAACGAGTTCTCTACCATGTTGTTTACTAAGTGAAATGGTGAGCAGCCTTTTGCAGCATTCATCCAATCAGATGCATTCTACGATTGGGTACGTCACTATTGGGAAGCCCATCAAGTGGCTAGTTAAATGCAACAGCACATCCCCTAGCATCCTCACCAGATCTGGTGGAAACATATCATAACTGCCATATGAAGGCAGTGCAGAGCAGTAGCGATTACCTAGCCAGTGGGATACACACACAGGACTCACATACACTAACATGCCGCCAGTACTACTACCACAACAAAGAACAGAGAAGTTCAGATTACAAAATGCACAAAGGAAGTGTGACGTCTCTGCTCAGGACGCCATTACTCCACTACATGTTTACACAGCAAAGAGTTGTTAGCTGCTTTATTAATGGTCTGAATATTGTATAAAGCTCCTTTACCCAAAAACTTTGTGAACATGTTTGCTGTAAATGAAACACAGCATAAGTTCTAGCAGAGCAGTAAAATCTGTCTCTGATTCAGTATCACTGGCTTATTCGCAGCTGTGTGGCTCGTAACATCCAATCAGATCTATTCAGAACAGACTATAACCTGTCACTCTCTCATTGTTACAGTTATGGGTTGTTATGCCAACGCTGTTTGCTGCTGCAGCTCCCTGGACCACCCTCAGTTTCTCCCCGCGGTATTTATGATGTGGTTGATTTAACTAAGATTTAATGTTCTTTATGCAATAATATGTTAATTGAAATTTAATTCTCCCAGCAGTTTTCTCATACCAGAATCTCTAACAATAAACCATCTGCTAAAAATAGTCAATTCTCTGACTCTGAAAGGAGCAAAGCAATGAAATGCACATACACTGATGATGGGTTTTATGTATAGTTCATTGGGTCAGGGTTTCTGAACAAGTTTTAAAAACTGTTCTGACTATGAATCAGACTTTTTGCAGATAAACCCTTACTTATGTTGACTCAGCTGAGGTTTCAGCAACCATGCTTCTAGCTCTCAGGCACAAGGCCATTATTTTGCACAAGATGATTCAAGTCAGCTACTTTGAATATCTCAGAGTGGATGTTTATGATTTCCGATGTCTCCTCTGGGATCTTTTAGCAGATTTTCAAACAAGCTGAATCCATAATTTTATATCGTGTTAGTCACGCTCAATGCTTTATTTTATTATCTGGGTGTATTGTTGGCCTGTTGGATTATTGTGCTGTTACCTCTACAGTGCATTAGCATGCAAACCAAAAGAAGAGCAAAGAGGCAGTTGCTGTCCAAAGCAGAGTGGTGGTTACTATTTTCCTTGTTTTGTTTTGAGTAAATGTAGCCAAGAGGGAAACTGAAGATTGTTCATTGTCCCGAGCCCGTAGCCATCCAGGCAAATCCTCATTTATTTATTTAACCATCAAACTAGTTTGTATTTTTCAGGGCCGCCTTACACGTAAGTTTATGCTTCATCAGAATCAGAGTTACTTTAATGCCAAGTACAATAAATCCAGAGGAAATTGTACTAGTGGCACTGAAGAGGAGGTTTATCAACAGCTTACAGGGCTTGAACAGTAGGCTTAGACACTGCCACAATGTGGAGGGGCAACGGACATTTACATAAGCGATAAAGACAGAAAGGACTGTTTAAATAAACTTTATACAGACACAATTTATCCTTACATCATTTGTTTTGCAGCAGAGAAGCCCCTGCGGTCACACAATGGGAAACAGACATCTGTAGACAAGGGCCTGAGGGAGAGCTGGGAGCCTTCGATTCATCTGGACGGAAGACCGGTGGACCGCTTCGTCATCAGCCCCAACAAGCCCACAAGGTCACACCGCTTCACGAAAGCGGGAAAGGACAGTCGCTCTCATCTACTGGAGGATGTAGGTAAGGCAGAAACAGAGAGAAAGTTAAAAAGAGAGGGTGAGAGCAAGACGAAGACAGTGACATGAACGAATCAAGTGGGAGCTAATGAGTGTGTTTCTGAGGGATGGTGGCACCCCAGAAATGTTTATAGAGGTGGCCAGATGGAGCCACTGAAAGTTGGGTTGGTGCACCAAAACCAAAAACCATAACTGAATTTTGGGAATCAGATTATACTGTCGAAGTATGAAGGCTAGTTGAAAACTAATCAATATGGAGCGCTAAGGATGTCTGTTTTGCTATGTCAGTAGTTAACTGTTGAGAATATATAGGACCTTTTACACATGTTGGTCTATAGTTTAATTTTGCTATTCTGCAGTCTACTGCACTGCGCACCACCAGGGTCTGGTGAGAGCTAGCTAGTATTAGCAGCTCACTCATTCAGCCATAACTTCTAGTAATGCTGTCCTGACCCCACAGTGTTGCTGTGGAAACATAGTGCCCACCCTCTGGTCTCCTCCAAGCTTTCCCTGGTGAGTAAGTGGCTCAATTTGAGCTGTAGAAAACCTATTAGCTTTGGTGACTATGCCATCATTGTTAGCTCTGTCACCACTGGTAGCAGTGTCAACACGGGTAGTGGTGCTAACATCGCAAACAGTGATAAAAGGGTTTTGTGGTTCAATATGAAGTCCCTTACTCACTGGGCGACCAGGGGGGAGACCTGAGGGTGGGCACAATGTTTCCATAGCAATACATTCTGCCATCGGAATGGTGTTAACAGCTGTAATCGCCAAATTAGCAGTGCCGCTAACTACCTAACATTGGCTCCCTCCCTACCGGAGTGGCCAAGAAACCAGTGGAGATGAAGTTTAGGCCACTGTTACCTTGGCTTTCTGGCCATCTGTCAGCATAGCAAACAGGAAACAAAATAAAAACACAAAAACACATAAAACACAAAACAATAGGCCCACAATTTCTTAATTTCTAACTGAATAGCGCATTGAAACAGCACTGTGGTAACACTTATGAGTTGAAGAAGTGCTGGACTAAATGGAAAGACTTCTTGTATTTCATGTCTTTTTTGTTTTTCTTAAAAGTTAACCAGTTAGTTAGCCTACCCGTTAATGGGTGTTCACCTTTCAGAAGCAAAATTAGCCGAAACTGACATCTCTAATACTGATAAACTTTGATTTCTTATTTTATAATTAATACTATTTGATGTGCATAGACTAATACCAGTACAGTTATCATTTTGAGTTCCAAAGCAATCCTGTTTTAATGTTTTTTTTGTATCTATACGGTAAGTTATTGATCTTCAAACAGGCTGGTTGTCCTTTTCCTGAAAAAGAGAAATATACAGCTCTTATTTGAAGTAGTACATTGATTATAAGGAACAAACTATTTACTGGGAACAAGCCTTCACAAGTTTAGGTGAGACTTGTGGGTATCCATCAAACCTATTTTCTTTAGGATATCTTGAGGTGAGAGTTCAAGGGACCCATTTGAAAATGGTCATGCCAGCTGTTCCTTGGCCAAAATTTAACCGAAATGTGAAGCATTATTTGGCCCCCTTATCAACAAGCTATGCTGACATGGTTGGTACCAACAGATGCCGTAGGTTGTTTGGTTTCACAAGATACCACTGCCTTTGCACTAGCTTAAAAATGGGCATGCCACAGCCTCTTAAAGACATTACTGTAGGTCTCCAATTACTTTTCCAGAGGGCGCCAGTGGGGGGGGGGGCAGCAATTTTATAAATTGGGCCATGGCCCCCCCCATGGCCCTTCCTTAGGGGCGCCACTGTTGAGGTACCTGAGGGGTGCTGGTAGCACTGCCAGACAAAAAAAAAGTCATTAAGAGGATAATAAATGGAGGGAGAGCAAGAAAAAGAGGTTTGGCTTAAATAATGGAGTGAGCTTTCAGATCCTGGAGTTCTGCTCTTTCTCAATATAAGTGCCAAGAAAATGAGGAGGGGGATGAGCAAAGCTGTGTACAAAGCAGAGACGCCAGGAGGTGAGGTGTAGACACGCGTAGGAGTGCATGTACGATTGATTTTTATCAGAGCATTAGTTCATCATTGGAAGTGTTGTGGTCCAAGTTTGCCAGACAGAGAGCAAAAGCACTGGGGGGGTGGTGGTGTGCTTGATGGGCGATCATTATCCCAGCCCAGCAGACAGCAGTTATTTTAGGCTTTAGCAGGACAGTATTTTTAGGTCTTAACAGATTCTTAATTTCTGATCCTGCCTTGTAAAACATAAGACAGGTCCTTATGTTTCTATACACATAGAGTTTGCAGTGTTGACACAGTCTAGCCTGCTTTTGTCATTATTCCATTTTCCTCCGTCCTTGGCATCTCAGAGCCATACTTCATCAGCGGCGCAGGAGTCTGCAGCCAACCCTTCTTTTCCACATCCAAACCCAACCCAGCTCCTATAACCCAATCCCCTGTGTTGTGGTCACTTGTTGTGTGTGTGTGTGTGTGTGTGTGTGTGTGTGCAACATGTGTGTTTGGTGGTGATTGTGGTAGAGTATAGGGATGGTGCCAAGTGTTGAATCATGCATTGTCTTGTGTGGTGTATCAGTGTGTTTTAAAAGTATGCATCTTTACATGCTTTTGTGTGCCGCCCAGTGTGTGCTGCGGCGGCCCTGTGGTCTCTCCAGCTCTGGTGCAGTTTGCCATAAGTCTCTGGCAGCTCAGCAGCGTCTCGGTGTTGCCTTTCCAGAAATTCCTTGCAGATCGTATGTTGTTCCCTCAGCAGCATGAGAGCAGCATCAGTCATCATAAATAACACCATGCTGTTTGCCTCCACATCATTAATGTGTCTGGCCAGCCGCTGTCAAAACAACACAAATGGAGCGATGACTTTTCAGAGACGAGAGGGGGCGAGATTGAGAGTAAAAGCAGAGGCATCCACTTTTCTCACTGACATGGGGAAAAGGAAAATCATACATGTTTAAAGTTGACCACAAAATAGAAAACATAACATTTCCACTTGAAAAAGTTGTCATCTGGTAGAAATGATTCAATTATTTTTAAATTTAGTTAATTCCCTGCTTGCTTTCCAAGTTCCTACTGGCCACATCATTTAACCATTCCTTTTTGTTTCATTTTTTAGACCCTGAATGGGTTAACCTGGATGGCTTTGCTGTGTTGGGCGGTGCACCTGTCAGCAACTCATCAGCAGGTAAACCTGATCTCTAGGCATCTTCACCACCAACACATGGGAGTGGTGTGTCTCAGTTAACAGCTGTACATGTACAACTATGTGGTGAAATCCATTAGAAGTGGTTTGCTGCAATTATCTGCTGTCATCGTGGATATAAAAGGAACCGGCAAATCTAATGTGAGGATGATTCATATTGCAATGTCTTAGGGCTCACTTGTTCTGTCCCTGTGGGATCAGCAAGGAAAAACAACCCCTTGTCTCTGACTCATACTCTTCAGCCAGGTGTGTTTTTCTTGCAGGTGATCCAAAGTTAACATCTCTGTTAGAGTTTTGTTGCCTTTAATGGCATACACCACATTAATTATCACATATTTGCCTGACACTGCTTTCAACAGACTGTGAAATGAGAGGAAATTAGGAATGTGGTCTTCATTAGGGTCCTTATGCCTGGTCTTAAGCTAAGTCAGTCTTAACCTAGGCGTGATATGTTTGACCTAATAGTTATGTCGCTTGCACCATCTAAGATTAGGCCTTCCTCTTGCTAAGACACCTAGTCAGGAGCAGGCGTAAAAACAAAGTCTCAGCTGTTTCTATTTATCAGCAGCGTGATACAGAAGACCCACTGACTCTGAACAAAAAACAAATGCATTAGCTTATCAGCCTAAGTCTCCATTTGTTTAGCTAACGTACAAACACGAACACATGTCTATTCCTTCCCCTCAACTTGTTGAAAGAATGACCAAACAAATGCTCACTCATGAAAAACACTGCTAATGTCAGTTATCAAGCTAGATAGTGACCTAATTAGTCACTGCGGTCCCATCAGATGCTGGTGTGGTTCATACCTTTAAAATACCACTGTTCCACAGCCAAGTTTGTTTACTCTTCCTCTCCTTTCTCTTACCTGTAGAGCTCTACCTTTCAGCTGTTAATCAAACACAGACATGCCGCTCCTGCACAACTCTGTCAATCTTTACATCTCTGTGTCAGTGAAATGTCCTTTTCTATTTCTCTGGACCTCCATAATAACGTTATTGCAAATTATAAACGATTAGCTAGTCCACACATTAAGAAAACAAAGGAAGAATGCATTGATGTGTTAAGAGACCTTGATACAGCGTTGAAGATGGAACTCCATTCATTCCTATGAAAGTTGCTCAGTGGTGCTTGGAGCCAAAAAAAAAAAGCTCTTTTTAGGCCCCAGTTGCACAGGAAGCGTTTTAGCAGCTGGAGGCGGCTTTTTGTGATTGTTTTTAATGAGAATGAAGCTTTTTGCTTGCTGTTTTTGTGCTGCTATGTGCCTCATATTTCTGCATTGTAGGCGCCTAGCATTTTTGCTGGAGCGCTCTGAACTCCTCAAGTTGAAAGAACTTTAACTCAGGAGGAAAAACGCCCCATGTCATCTCTGCTTTGTTCCCATTGTCCATTTGGATGATTTGAGAGACGGGTCCTCTGTGGTGGTCATGACAACAAGTTTACAGCTGGTAAACAACATTTTTTGTGATACAAGACCGACGTGTCAAGCAGCCTCAGCGTCATTATAAAATATGCCTAGAAAGAACCATCATCGAGGCGAAGCTCCTGGGAGCAGCTTTTTTAGACTTTCCAAATGTTATCAGACTAAATGGAATGAGTCCTGATAATGAAATGAGTCATTTTGTGGGGGTTGTGACACTCAGATTTATCCATTGATTAACAGATGTCATTTTTCCCAATGTAAGTCTATGGGAAAAAGTCTTTTTGGGCCCAAAGGCATCATGTGACAGACTCAAGAGGTTGTATCACTGTTTGGCCACTATGAACATTGGCTTCAAAGCCCGGCGCGCTTCCATGGGGCCTGGTTGAACGTGTACAATGTATCCTAGCAACAGATATGCTGCTAGGCAATAGCCATAGTTGCTTAACATTCCAATGAGGCTTTAATTTGGTTAATGCAATCGAACTAAAGTCTGTTCTGAAGTCTAAACAAAGAGTGACTTAGCAGTCAGGACGAGGCTTATTAAAGACCAGTTGGTACAACCCACTCCAGATGAAGGCCACAGGCTAAAATGTGTTGCAATAAAGTTGTTCTGTATTCCACAAGTGCTGCTGGAGTTTCAACTTCTTTAGACCTCTTCCTCTTCTCCGTGAACCTTGGATGTAGTAGGACGTAAATTGTGCCAGAAACCCCCACCCTGCTTCTATAGGAAATTAGTAGCAGACCGAACTGCTTGTAACCTGACTGACAGATTACTCATAAAGTGAAGTGTACTGTGTTAATATGTGCACAGTCAATGAATTAAATTAGTTATGCAACAGAAAATTAACTGCCAACAAGTTTGACTGATTGATAATAAATAGTCATTTTCAAGCAAATATGCAACACATTAAATGTTCTTAAGTTTTCTTTAGTGTGTTTTTGTCTGTTACATGTAATACCTTTTGAGTTTGATTTTAAAGATTTGTCACTTGCCGCAAAGTATGATGGGCATTTTGAGTTATTTTTGGGATATTTATAGACCAAATGACTCAGTGAGTAATAGAAAAAATATGTGAAGAGCTCTAATATTTATTTTCCTTTGGTTAAAATGAACAGTCTTCTCATTAAAATCAAGCACACTAAAGAAAGCATATTTATCTGTTTATTTCAGTGTTGTGGGGACATCTGGACTTTTAAGCATGTGTCATGTAAACACTCACTTGTCTGTCGCAGGGCGAACACAAATAGACACTCGTGTTCATACTGTTCCACATGGACAATTTAGCCTCTCCAAACCACTTGACTTGGCGTGTCTTCGTGCAGCGGTGGGGAAACATGGAGAAAACCCATTCAAATTCCAGACTGAAAGGATCAGGACCAGCAACTGAACCTTCTTGCTGTGAGGCGACAGTGCAAACCACTGAACCACCACGTTGCTCTGGAGTTTCAGTTGAGTTTGTTTGAGGCAGAGCCGCTCTGGAGACACAGCTAATCATATTTGTTGAGTTAAACCTCAGCGAGTGGAGCCAGAGACTCGCTGTGTTTCTGGCAAAGTAGCATCAGAATAGCAGCCAGCAAAGGAAGACATTGCGTGTTGTGAAGATTTAGCACACTTGTGTTAGCATTTCGGTAGAGTTATCCGGCTATGTAGCTACGTGCTAATTATAATCATCCCATTTAATATTTCTAGTGATTATACTAGCTGTTAGCCTGGTAAGCTACAACAAGAGATGGATGCTGCCTAAGCAAACACTAATGGTATGATTTTTTTAGGGTACAGGTGCTCTGTATTTGAATTAAGCCTTTTGTAGGTACACAGATGCACCACTACTGATGACATGTCCCACTTATCCTGCCATAGTGACAGCTTGATCATTCACATAAAGTCATCTGGTTATTTAAGGAGAACACGTCCCTGGGTGGGCTCGAACCACCAACCTTTTGGTTAACAGCCGAACGCGCTGACCAATTGCGCCACAGAGACATGCTTTTCAGGGGTGTGACCATAAATTATATGGCCCTCCTACCTGTGTTTGTTACAGAATGCTCTGGCCATGATGCTTTTCCCTTCCCATTGCCAGCATTAAAAAGCTATCGAAGCTAACGAACCACATTACAGTCGTATGATTTAACATCTTTACCACAACGAGGCTGTAAAGCTGTGGTCCGCGGGATGAACTTTAGTCTCATTTAGACACTTGTTAGCATCCGCCTTTTCAAAGATAAATAAAAGCTTCAAAATTTACGAGTGAGATATTTACTGACGTATTTTATGTTGTAAAGCAAAACATGAAAGTCTCTAAAACTTGACCACAGATTTTATTTTAGGCATCTAACCAAAAACCCATTAAAAAAAACATTGCCTTGATTATAGGGCTTATTCTTGGGACAATCTGTTTGTATAGCAGAAACTTTTGTTGATTTGTCTTATGCATTCTCTCACATTTGTGCCCTTCACTTACCTATTATTTTAACTTCACATGGTTTTTGAAGAACAATGCGTCCCTGGGTGGGCTCGAACCACCAACCTTCCGGTAACAGCCGAATGCGCTGACCGATTGCGCCACAGAGACATATTTTACTGTGTAATGAGGGGGGTGTCGGGTCTGTATATGTGCCCCTCCCACCTACATTTCTGCTATTTAATTGGCCATATGATATAGGCCTATGAGAAACTTAGAAAACTAAAACATGAGCATTGAACAACAGCTTTTTGGTTTGTTTCCTGCTGTGAATGTCCTGATTTTAGAGGTATAATGTTGCTTTCTAAATTTAGCTACTACGTTTCCATAGAACCAACTGGTTTTTGAAGGACAACACGTCCCTGGGTGGGCTTGAACCACCAACCTTTCGGTTAACAGCCGAACGCGCTGACCGATTGCGCCACAGAGACATGTCTTGTTGAGGGGTGTGGCCTCAATTTGTAAGTCCCTCCCATCGGTATTTGCTATCAAGTGCTTCAGGCATGATGTTTTTATTGTAGCCCTACACTGAAGTTGGCTTTGCCCTGATTCCCTTTGTCAAAAAGCCTATGGGATTTTCCATTGAGTTTTGGATTACTGCAGAAAATAAGCCCTGTAGCAAAAAATGTTTATGGTACTTACACTGGTACTTTGATTTTTGAACCCCAAATGCAATCGCCAGCAGTAAAAATCTAACATTAGGCTATAAACGAACTACATGATTTAACATCTCTACCACAACAAGGCTGTAAAGCCATACTTAGCAGGATGATGTTCTGTCATCTCATTCATCCATTTGTTAGCACCCACCTCTTTTATGACAAATAAAAACTGCAAGTTCACGAGTGAGACATTTACTGACGTATTTTATGTTGTAAAGCAAAACATGAAAATCTCTAAAGCTTGCGCTAACCACAGATTTTATTTTAGGCATCTAACCAAAAACCCATTAAAGAAAAACATTGAAAGGATTGCGGAAAGTCTGTCATGCTCTCATCTTTTCTATTTTCATAAAGTCACCTGGTTTTTGAAGCTCAACACGTCCCTGGGTGGGCTTGAACCACCAACCTTTCGGTTAACAGCCGAATGCGCTGACC